TCTCTCCCTACGTAGGTCCCCCAGACCCTTATTAACTGCCAATCACCCTGTGATCCTAGCTGGGGTAGACAAATGAATGCAGATCCCATCCTCTGTAAACCCCACATCCTAGCCTTCTCTTGCCCTGTTGTTTCCTGGGCTTACCCTTGTGGAGTTGGCTACAAGTTGTCCCTGTGGCTGTGGGTACCATCTGACTACAGCAGGGTAAAGACAGGGTCCCTTGAGTTTTGACAAGCGGTGGAGAAGTAAGTCTCCATGTTGACAGCACCGAGGGCAGGAGACGAGATACCCTATCAGACAGAGTAGGCTTAAGCCCCCTGGGCCAGGTTCTTCTCCCCATCTGGATGGGTGGGGGTGATTGGAAGGAGGCTCAAGCAGTGGCCAGTCTCTCTACCCTCATGGGAACAGGCAGCAGGCAGTTTACCAATGGATAGCTGGTAAGAGAAGCACTAGAGCCTAGTCCTCCCTCCTGCCTCCTGCTCTGGTCTGACCCTCCGGAAATTTTCTCTTATTCCTCAGTCTAGCTTGAACTCATGCCCTATAATTTGGTGTTCTGGAGCAGGATTTTGACTTGGCTTCTCACAAGGAAGAATATCTTGGTCAGCAGGAATGCATCAAATGTGGGCTTTAGTTTTGGTGTAAGAATCATATCTCCCCCAGTTCCTTAGATGGTGACTTTCCCAAAAGAGCATGTGTCAGCCAGTTGTGCCCCAGAGGACTCCCTCCTTTCAGCAGTATGAAACCCTTATTCTTGCCCACCTCAATTCTTCTGCCTAATTGTCCATTTATTCATTCCGTCATCACCCACCCTTCATCCACTGCCTACCTGTCTACCCATCCCCCACCCCATCCAATCTACCCTTCATCTACTTCCTCCTTTCATACAGCCTCTCTGGCCACACCTCTGTTCAGCTAGCTATCCATTTCCCCTTCCTGTCCTCCCATTCACACACCTACCAGCCCAACCACCTACTCATCCACCCACTCATTTGCCACTCCATCACTCTGTCCTCTCCATCCTCTTATGCATCTTTCTTTACTTTATAGGTTTATTTATTTTTTAAGATTTATTTTATAAGCACTGGGGTATAGGCCAGAAGTGTAGGCGATAAAAGGATTCACCAGAGACAGAATGGGGAGCAGAATAAGCAGGAAGACTGAAATACACTCACTGCTAAAGGGAGCAGCAGGCAAAACAGGAGAAGTCTGCTTCGCCACATGGGTCACCTTCCTGTCCAAGGTCGAACTCATGCGTCAGTGGCTGCCCATAGCTTGATAGTGCTCCCTGGGGCCACCAGGGAGGCTCGCTTATGCATCTTTTTTTTTTCCCCCAAAGATTGATTTATTTATGCATACAGAACTGGGGTGCAAGCCAGAGGTGCAGGGGGGATGAGAGGTTTCACCAGAGACAGAGTAGGGAGTAGAACAGGCAAATCGAGTGAAATATACTGCTGAAGGGAGCAGTGGGTGAGACAGGAGAGGTCTGCCATGCTGTGAGGGTCAGCTCCCTGGCTGGGGATCGAACTTGTGCTGCAGTGGCTGTGATAGCTTCATAGTGCTGCACTTTAACCTGTTGCAACACCAGGGAGGCCCTCTCTTGCACATTTTTAAACCCAACTTTCTACCACCTGTTCATCTGCCCACCTCCTCCACTCGCAACCCACCTACTGCCTCCCTCTAGTCACACCCTCATGCCCCACTACCATGACTGTGGCTGTGGGCAGCTTTTCTGGTACAGCTCTCTTGTCTACAGGTGTGTGGGGGGTACAGGCAAACTAGGCCAGAGCTGAGTGCACAGCTCTAAACCTCTGATAGTTTATTTTTCCAGCTTTGAACTCAGCTCCTACCTTCTAATCTCCTTCCCAGTTCCTTCATATTTTCTGACCCAGACAAAGGTGCTGTCATACGATTTTGGTTGGAGTGACTCCTCGGGTCCCCAGGACAGGAAACTTTCACCCAGTTCTTTCCCTAGTGTAGCTACAGCTGGATGGCATGGTTGTTCCTATAAATTAACTCTTATGAGTATATGTGGTAGGACATGTATCTAACAAGGACCCTGAAAGCTGGAGACTGGATTCTGGGTGAGGACCTATAGGAATCCACCCAGCAGTAATGTGTGGGGGCTATGATGGTGTCAGCTAGGGAGGAGAGTGAGGGCAAGCACTGTCCTGTAGCATAGCACTTATCTGCTTGTCCCCAGGCCATCCAGGGACCACAGCAGAAGTAAGTCTTTCTTGTACGTACCCATCTCCAGTGAAGATTGGTGGCCCCACTCCAAGGCCAACCATGGAAATTGTCTTTGAAGTCTCAGGATTGATCTTGAAGATGCATGCTCTTTTGGCCTTCAATGTCATCACAGTTATAGAGTTACTATAAAAGTAGTGCTTTGAGTTACAGTCAGAAAAGCTGTTCTCTGGGGTGCTGGCTTGGGTCATCTGTGCCTGCATGTACCCAGCATCAGGGAGGCTCCCATGTTGAGAGAGTGGGCCTGAGTCTTCCTAGATGCCCCTGACAGCTACCTGATTCCCTTGTCTCCTTAGGCTGTCCTACAAGCCAATGAGATGAAGTGACTATAGCCTGTGGGTCTTGGCACCTCCACCCATGGGTGTGCAGAGAGGGTGCACCCGCAGACTGGGGCAGAGGACTTGAGCCCAGACCTGGGTCTCTGGTGTCCTGTGGGTAACTTTGGGGCACTCTACCCTCAACCTGACTAGCATTCGGAGGTGGGCCTGGGAGGTAATTAATGTAAGTTGAGAGACTGGATATAAGGAAGGTCAGTGATGGGTTTGGCACTTTCTCACTGTAGCTTTAGAATTCTGGGTCCCTAGCCAGCTCCCAGCTGAAACTAGTGGGGAAGCTCCTTGGACCCCAGAGCCTGGGCAAGCCGGAAGCTGGGGCTCTTCTTATGCCTGCTATCCCCAGGGTCTGCAGCCTGGGCTTGGCCACCAGGTGGGGTAAAAGCTGAGGTCAGTCAGGCATTCATGTCTCCAGAAGTATCATCGGCTGTTCACAGGTCCTGATTGTTACTTCCTAGGACAGTAACAATCCTTGTTATGGGGCCTGCAACCCTTGGTCCTTTGTCCCAACTTCCACTGATAAGGGATGCTGCAACCACCAGGGCTTGGTTCAGGATACTAGTAACCTAATTCTTCCCCCAGAAAGGCCCCCATGATGAGTACCTCAGGCCATGCAGGCCCAGCCTGCCCAAAAGGCATAGTGTCTAATAACCCGGGTGCCCATCTTTTTAGATCCAGGCACAGGCATGCTGTCCTGTCTGCCCTTCATTCCCTGAGGGCCAGAGGAGCCAATCTGCTCTCTCTCAGGAAGGGTTCTGCTTATTCTTCTGGCTGTGTTCATTTTACTCACTGCCCCCATATTAGATCATGCTGACAATTTCATGTGTGGCAGGTGCTTGGAAAATGGAAATACATTGGCCTCTTGCCTTCATAGGGCCTCAGTTTTCCCAGCTGTCTCAGTGTACTGGACTCCGAAGTGTCCTTTCATCCCAAGGTGCCCCATGTCCCCCACCATGTCCCTGGCCCAGCCTCTACTGGTATGGCCAAATCTATTACTAATTCTTTCTCTCTAGGCTCCATCCAGCTGGCAAGCAGACCTGACCTTTGTGAGGGTGCTGCCTGCTCTGCTGAGTCTCTCCATTGGTACAGGGATGAGAGGTTGTGGGTTGACTTTGGAAGGCTGTGGGGTAGTTGGGCTGAGAGAAGATCCCTGGGCATTGTGCTGTATACTGAGTGCCTAGTACTGTGGCCACATGACCTATACTCTGCCTGTTGTTTGTGCCAGCATCTGAGCTCTGCATACCTCTCTCCTTATTTTTTTTTTAAAGATTTATTTATTTATGCATACAAGAACTGAGGTACAAGCCAGAGGTATGAAGGGTGAGATATTTTACCAGAGAGCAGAGTGGGGAGCAGTACAGTCAGATGGACTGAAATAAACTGCTGAGGGGAACAGTGGGTGGATATGGAGAGGTCTGCACCATGTGGGTCACCTCCCTGGCCGGGAATCAAACTCATGTTGCAGTGGCTGTGGATAGCTTCATAGTGCTGTGCTTTAACTAAACCATTGCACCACCACGGAGCCCTCCTAGGTGCCCAGGGAGCTCTTCCTCTGCTGCTTTTTGCCCTTGAAAAACAAACACACTGGGCAGCCAGGAAACAAAGAGTAAGGAAAATCTGGCTTATTGCTACAGCTGCTGGGCCCTACTGCCTCTGCCTGCTCCCTTGGAGCCCTGGGGCCTGAGGCCCAGGCAGACCTGACCCTTCCCAACTGTGCCTTGGAGGCTTTAGGCCCTGCCTTCATTCACCCTCCAGATAAGATTTCAGGCATGGTCCCTTCCAGGCCTGACAGGTTCTCATTCTGCCCTTGTTCTTGGCTAGAGTGGCTGTAGTGGAAACTGGATCACTAGTTTATAAGCTAGTGTCATCCCTACACCTGCCTAGGGGTTTGGGTACCTGATAGCTTTTGAGTGGCTTCTCATTCCCTGTCAGCTGGCCAAATCATCTTTACCATTCTAGCTGTAAACCCCCCACCCATTCTGAGGCCCAGCATGCACTTCTGTGAGATAGGTCCAAGCAGAATTCATGAAATTGGTCAGGTAAACTGGCTTGTGCTGTGGGTAGCAGAGGGTCTGGGAGGTCAGTGCTGGTTATACCAGCTTTTCCTGCCCTTTCCTTTCCTTCCCAGTGGAGCTCCAGAGACCCACAGTTTATATTTCTGCTGGGTTCGGCAGAAAGCAGAGGAACCCAGGTCAGAGCCCCAGAGCCCCAGGCTCTCCTACAGGGAACCTGCTGCTTCCGGTCAGCCTTGAATTAATGACTTTTAATTTAGAATTTAATCAATCTAGTTTCTCTCTGGAGACCTGTATGCTTCTGTGTGGGAGTGAGTTGTCTCATCTCTGAGTGGGGTGGGCAGGTAGCCCTGATGGCCTCACCATGCCACCTTGCAGGCTCCACTCTGACCTTGCTCTGCTTTGCCTGCAGCCAGCAGGCATCCCAATCATGGAGGATTGCAACATGCACTCAGCTGCGAGTATCCTGGCCTCGGTGAAGGAGCAGGAGGCCCGCTTTGAGCGGCTGACAAGGGCGCTGGAGCAGGAGCGACGCCATGTTGTCCTACAGCTGGAACGAGCTCAGCAACCTGGTGTGGGCAATGGTGGCATAGGCAGTGTGCAGCCCCTGCCAATGGCCTGGCAACAACTGGTCCTGCAGGTAACAGTCTAGTGACTCAGAAAACATGGAAATGGCCAAGTGAAGAAACAATCAAGGGGCCCTAGTGGGCCACAAGCATTAAGTGGCTTACTACAAGACTTCCTGGGCCTCTAGGGAGGGAAAAAAAGTGGGATGTCAAGGGAACTGGACAGCTCATTTGCTGGGCACCACATGATGGTTGGGCGAGACATAGCATGACCTCAGAATAGTCACCTCCTCAGTTGAGTGGGTTCCTCAGGATGTGGGGAGCTGGGAAGGGTCTGTTCTGGGCAGTTCAGTGGTCAGCCTCGAGACACTGAGGATTGTGTCTGCCCTCTGCCCTGGAGTCTTCCTCGCAAGGTTGTGGTCTTAATATGCAAAGGAGGGGCTGCCCCAGAAGAAAGGTTGAGTGAGACCCCAAGCTCTGCCTATAGCTCAGAGGGTGACCTGGAGTCTCAGTTTTCCTATTAGCCATTGTTCTAGCCTGGCTCACGTCCCTGCTCAGATCTAGGAGGGGTAGAGTCCTAGCTTCTCTGTGAGGCGGCCCTGAGAACTCTAAGGTTGGAGCATGTTCACAGGTGTCAGATCACCTGGTGCCCCCCTCCTACCTAATTATCACCCTAGTGACTAACCTGCTCACAGGGTGACAAGAGCACCTGGCTCATGGGTTGATAGAATGAGGAAACCTAGGAGGCCTGGAGTTGGTGGGGTTATTGCATTGTCAGGTATTGATTGAGGCACAGGATTGGGGATAACCAGGGCAGAGCTGTCCTAGGAGCCATGGGAAGGAGAGGGCTTTTGGGTAGGGGTCTGTCCTGCAGGCTTCCCACTATTGCTTCTTCACACTACTAGACTCAATGCCACTGAGACCTCTGGATTCCACAGAGTAATGTAAGTACTCTCTGTTCCTCTGGCTTGGGCTCCTAGGCAGTGGGCAGTGTTACCCTCTTTTTTTTTTTAAGTATTTATTTATGCATACAAGAACTAGGGTACAGGCCAGAGGTGCAAGGGGTGAGAGGATTCACCAGAGACAAAGTGGGAGCAGAACAGGCAGATCTATTGAAATATACTGCTGACTGGAGCAGCAGGTGTGTCAGGAGAGGTCTGCCACACAGTGTGGGCCACCTCCCTGACTAGGGATGGAACTTATGCTACAGTGGCTATGATAGCTTCATAGTGCTGTGCTTTAACTTCATAGTGATGCACCACCAGGGAGGGCTGATGTTGCCCTTCTTAGTCTGGCAGATGGCCCCCTCCCAGTGTCGGCTCCACTATAGGCATACCCTCCCTTCTTAAGTCCTGCTGAACTCCAGCTCCCAGGCATCAAGACAGGCTACCTACTGGCTAGCATACATGTGGTAGCAGCTTAGGGCAGCCCGGCACCTGTGTCTAGAGAGAAAGAGAACAATGTGGTGATCTTGCTGACCCTGGCTAGCCACAGTCTCAGAGGCTCAGAGCAGCAGCAGTATCAGGCTGGAGACCCCAAAAATGACCACCCTGACATGCCTTCATACCCTCATTTGCTAGTGGGTGATCCTCACATTCAGCCCACTGTGGTACACAGTTGGAGCTCAAAATGTGTCTTCAGAGGCCCTGCACCCACCAGTAGGGCCACCCTTCACCATTGGAGAATCATTGTTCCAAGCCCCCTTTTGCTGAGGTGGGCCACACAGCTAGTGTGCAGAAGGTAGGGAATGAGGTAGGATGGGTCTGAGTTTGAGGACCATCTTCACTGTCCCCTGGATCCCAGGCACTCCAAAGAGTGAGGACTGGTACTCCCAAAACCCCCAGGAAAGGAGAAACAACACAGTTGGGCCACACGGGCTCACTAAAAGTCGGTAACTCAAAGGATGCCCCTTAGGCACCAGCCCTCTCAGGCCAGAAGGGGCTCTAGCCTTAGTACCTACACCCCAGTAGGGAGATACTCCCATAGCCCGGAACTTCCCTGGGTTCTAAAAGTGGCAAATTGAGACCGCAAGCGAACACTGCCCCTTCCCACCTACCCTTAGTTATATCAGGCTGAGAGGGGAAAGAGCATGTGTCCCCAGGGCTGTGGCTGGACTCAAGTGCTGATGGGGATGATGGAGGGGGAGGGCATCATGTTGAGCCTCAATGCCAAATGTGCTTCACTGATTTATCTCAGCAGGAGGTACCTGATGACCTACCTGCTGAGCCACAGGGCTACCTGCAGTGGGTTCTCAGGGCCAGAGCAGGGACCTGAAAAACTGTGGGAGGTGGCAAGGCCCATAGCTAGAGTCCGCTCTAGGGGTTACTGTTGCTGTGTCCCTCTAGGCTATCCAATAATCCTGACTACCTGCCCTACAGCAGGAAGGGACTCTCCTCCAGATAGCTGGCCATAGCAGGACTGGCTGTCACCCTTGGGAGTGGAAATGTCATTGGGGATCTAGCCACCCTGTAATTCAACTAACATTAATTTGTGGCTAGGGCATGAATATTTGATAAAAAGTGGGAGACATCAGAAACAACTCAAATATAAGTAAGCATGTAGGACAAGTTCTTCAGGACAGTGAACCTGTGTTCCTGCTTCTGCTTGGGGACTCGGCCTGGTGCTGCTGTGGATGGAAGATGCAGGGGGCCAGTGGTAAGAGCAACTTAGCCCAGTGCAGGTGGGGAACCTAAGGCTAGAAGGGACACACAGTGGTCTCCCACATGTTTGAGCCTCCTGGCTGTGTTGCTTATGTACGTGGCTTGTAGATCCAGAGTGGCCCAGCAGAGGCCCAGTTTTCTTTCCTTTTTTTTTTTTTTTAAAGATTTATTTATTTATTTATGCAAGAACTGGGGTACAGGTCAGAAGTCGGGAGGGAGTGGTGGTGGTGGGGTGGTAAGAGGTAAGAGCATTCACTAGCAACAGAGTGGGAAGTAGAACAGGCAGGTCTACTGAAATACACTGCTGAGGGGAGCAGCGGGTGGCAGGAGAGGTCTGCCACACTAAGTGGGTCAGCTCCCTGGCTGGGGCTGGAACTTGTGCTGCAATGGCTCAGAGAGCTTCATAGTGCTGTGCTAAATTTTAACTCCACCAAGGAGGGCCCCAGAGGCTCAGTTTATTGACTGGAGCCTCTGGAGGAGGCAGGAAGCCCACCAGGCATCCTCTCTTGCATCTTCTTGGCAATCTATCTCCGAATCCAGTTTCCTTATTTATGATGCAAGTGCACTGACTTACCTTTTTGAGGAATGACCCCAGAGATTGCCCCAACCCAGCCCAGCCCAGCCCAGCCTAGCCCAGCCTAGCCCTTCCCTTCCCTTGCCCTCAAGCAGAGCTAGACTCACCTTTGTGGGACTGCATCTTTATACCAACTGCCAGCATGGGGTGTGGAGGGGTGCACCCTGGTAGGACTAGCTCTGATTAACAAGCCACTCCAAATTGCCCCCAAATTCCCAGTAGACGAAAGAGTCTGAGGTCAGCTCAACCTCCTGGGCTTTAGTCCATGGTCACTCAACAGTTGCATGCCCCTACCACCACTTACTAGGCTGACAAGCAATGATGAGGGGGTCTCCCTGTGTCTCTGTCTTGATGGGTAGAACCCAAGACATTGTAGGTCACTGCAGGGCCATTTGCAAGTTTCCCAGTGACCTCTATGTGGCTAACTTCTTTGGAGTGTTATGCTTGGGGTGGATAGGGGCCTGGGAACAAGTCGGAAATCTTGAGGAACTGCCATGGTGGTAACCATCTCATAGGCCCCCCATTTCACAGCAAGCAGCTAGGATGAGCAGCTGGTGTCTGGGAGCCTCATGGCCCCTGCTCCATCGGAGCTCATTTTCCCCAAATCTACAGGGGAAGAGGATATGAGTTTTTTCACTGGGTGCAAACAGAGGCCTGGAAAGGAGGGCTCACAGAGTCATCCCCGCTTGGGCTCGAGGTTGAGACCTGAGCTGACTGCAGGGGAGGAAGGGGCGACCCCGACTCCGCCCCACCGAGTCCCCGCCCCGCCCCGCCTGGGCGCGGCCCCGCCCGATTGGCTGCTTGCCGTGACCACCGCCAGATCCGCCCCCGCGGGTGCGAGTCTGCCGCGCCTGAGCCGGAGTGGCCGTGGTGCCAGAGCCCAGCCAGGTCCAGCCGTCGCTGCCGCTTCCCCGCGTCCCCCTCCCCCCAGACCCAGCCGGCCTGATGCCGGCCGAACTCAAACAGGTTGGAGGGAACTTGGTCCTGGGCAAGGGGGGAACAGATGGGGCCCTGCCGCGGAGGGCGGGGCACCAGCCTCCCCGGGAGGACCTGCTTTTGTTCTGTGGAGCCTCCGGCCAGAGGCAGCTATTGTCTGCGCGGGTGGACGGAATGAGCGCACTGCTCCGGGGTTGTGCAAGACTGCGGGTGGGGCTGCTGGGTCTCTGGATCTCCTCCCAGGGAGTTGGGCCTACTGGCGGTGCCCCCCTGCACTGGACGGGGAGTAGGGCCGACACCGTGGTGGGCACACCCCCTGGCCAACGCACAAGACAGGTGTTGGGGCAGGCGGGGCAGGCGGGCGGTGAAGGGCGAGGGCTTTCCCGAGCATCCCCTCTCCCCGGGAGGGAGACTGAGTCCGGAGAGGGGAACACAGTCGGGCTCATGTTCCCTGTGAGCTCGCTGGGCCTCCCCTCCCGGCCACACTCCCAGTGCGGGCGCTGACTGGGGACCTGGGAGTAGCTTCCTCTCCAGAGCCTTAATGGAATCCTCGTCTGCCGCGGTAACGCACGTGAGGGGAGGGCTGGAGGATGCCCTGCGCACAGTGGGGGAGGTTGAGTGGGGGCGGGGCAGCGGTGTCTCTGGAAAACCCCAGCATTCCAGTACTAGAGGTTGGGGGGAAGGCATGTGGGTCACCCTTCCTTAATCAGAGGGAGCCTATATAGTAACAGAAAGGTAAACTGAGTGGAGGAGCAACCCCTTGTTGCAGAGTTACACCTCCACTACACGTGCCTAGCAAGACTACCTGATTCCTGCCTGCTGTGTGTCTCCCATTCTGCCAGGATCTGGCTACCAACTGTCCCAAAGATGGAGGAGGCAGCTGGGAGCTGGGTAAATTTAGCTGGTAGTATGGCTGATGGATGAGGGTTTGCCTTTGGGAAGTCAGGGTGGGTGATGGTCCTATTACCTCCCGCAAGTTTGCTCCCTTAGCTGCTGAGCACTCACTATCCTTGGTCACTTGCCCAGTGGTGGCTGCGCCCTAGCAGGTGTACTGCTGAATGAGCCCCTGGTCTACCGGGGCTGGGCAAAGGCATAGGTACTAAGAGAGCGTGCCTCTCTGGTGGCCAGGGATTTGTTCCATAGTAAGCAATGCCAGCCTGGCTTGGTCTGGATTCCATGTGGATAGACACTTTGGGTGGGGTGGTTAGTGCTCTGCCAACTCTCCCTTACAGTCATTTGTCTAGTGGCAGCCTCTTGTGCCCTCTGGGGGCCAGGGTTGTGGGAGCCAGGTATGGGACTCCCACCTTAGCCCAGCCCCAGTGTGTGCTCGCAGACTATGGACAAGCTGAGGTGCTGTAGTGTTCATGATACAGACTCTGGGTGCCCATCTATAAAATCCAGAGAGTGCAAGTAGAAACTCCGCTCCACCCTCATCACCCCTACATTTTAATTTGTTTTTTGTGATTCTTTTCTCTACTATTATCACCTGTACCAGGGGTTTTAAGGACTTTTGCCCAAGCGGTGGCCCTTATTCATTGTTTCCCTTGTCCCTATATGGCCCCAAACGTGAGGCTCACACTATGTAGTCTGTCTCATGGTTTTGACACCCTTGGTCCTTCCCATTTCTGTTGGAAGAAGCTAAGGCCTGCATTTGTGTTAGGGCCCAGAGTCATCCTACTATACTCAGATCTGCCTTCAGGAACCCCCTTGAGAACAATAGCATATGGTTGTGTCCACCTTTATAAGGTACAGGCCACTTCAGTACCCAGTTCAGTTCTAGGGATCTTATTAGAAAACCCCAGACTTACCAGCTTGTTCTAAGCTAGGTATGGGGTACATAGACAGTTAGACTTTGGATGATAGCACCATGAGATGGATTTGGGCCTTGGAGATAGGTGATGGAAGGCTGGGACAGTGATCCTAGCAGGAGGGGCAAGGCTGAATCCAAGGCCTGGAAAGGGTAACAAGAGGCAGCTAATAGGTTTGACAGGATTGGGGATGTTGGGAAGGAGGTAGAGGGTATCATTTATAGGGATGTGGTGACCCTGTGACTTGGGCTGAAGCATGCTCAAGCACACATTCTTGTCAGGAGGACCGGTACATGCACCATATGTGTGTCTGGGTCCCTGTCTGCATGTGTATGCCCAGGCATGTGTAATAGGCCGGACCTTCTAGTGATCACCAGCTGACTCACACTCCTGCCTGCCTGCCTTCCTACCCGGGTGAAGTCATTGCTCAGTTTTTAGCTCCCTGAGGTCATTCCAGCAGGGGTGTTGGGGCCTCCGGATCCTGCAATTGGGTTGCTTGGGCTGGGTGTTAGTGGGTACCTCTGTAGAGTCAGGCTTTGTTGGAAGGTCCTAGCTCTTTGGGGCTCCCATTTTCCTGACTGAACAGGGTGGAATGAGGATAACTAGCAGAGCTATAGAGTGGCATTGAGGTTGAGATATACTTTGCCTTCCCTCACTGTCTAGTCAATGAGGAGGGTACTTTTCTCTGAATGTGTTAATGTACCCAAACCAACGAAGGAACTATATCTGACTGACAGTATTTTGGGCAGTGTCCTGGTTCCTCATACAAGTCTTGCTTCCTTGCCCTCCTCTGTACTCACAGCTAGTAATGAGTTTCCCTGCTTCCCCCCACCCCCACTCTGATTGACCTCTTAGAGCTCAACAGAAAGGCTCACTGCCTGCCACATATGTACTCCCACAGTTGCCAAATACAAATGGGACAGCTGAGATCCCAGCAGTGACGGGCTGTCCCTGAACTTTCTCCTGTTCAAAGTATCCCAGCTTCCAGTACTCTGGGGGAAGAGCCCAGATAGCCCACCGGCATGTTCATGCTCAGGGAGGCCTCAGCTTACTTCTCTTTCCCTGGGAACCAGTGTTCTTCTTCCCTAGTCATGTCACCAGCAGGCATTCCATCCACAGCTCAGGCGGTGGCCCTTGCAGGGTTAGGTATGATTAAAAGACCTTGCAAAACTACCTTTCCTGTGGATATCTGAGATTCTCCTGTTAGCAGTTAGTGAGATTTTTGGTAAGTTCACTCTGTCAGGCTACTTATTTTCTCATTTTGTAAAATCATATATTGTCCTCTGAAGCCCTGCTTCTGGGGGAGGAGGGATACATTCTGTGATCTCTTCTTCCTGTGTCACCACAGACAGAGGTATGCAAGGCCCTTTCCTAGACCCCTTGAAGAGGTCACGAGGGCCCAGAACCTCAACATTGCTTTACAGTTAAGTAGAGGGCAGGTGTTTCTTCAGGACAGAACCCAACCTGAGACCACAGTCTTGGGAGGCAAACACTTAGGACAGCTTTGAGCTCGCTCTTTTGCATGCCTCCATGGCCAGGGCTGGGAGCACAGTGGGGTTTGAGAGCCAAGTGGATACAGATGTGCATGTGGGCTATAGTCTTGTCCAGTTCCCCGCCATGTCTGTGCAGGCCTCAAAGACAAGCCAGGGTAGGGGACCCGTCCTAGGCATGGGGCTTGGACTGGTTTCCTGCTGACCTTACTTTGGCCACCCAGGAATGTGCTCTTCCCTTGTCCAACCACTAACGCTTAAAACCACTAAAGTTTTATCCCTGTCATTCCTGGCCATATGCTTATCCCAGGACTCCTACAGTCATAGTGTTGATTGACCCTCAGGATCCTGTTATCACTCAGCACAGCAGAGTCCTGGCCCAGCTCTGCTGTGGGCCTGCGTAGTCCTCCGAACCTCACTTTCCTCACTGGCAAGTTTGGCCAAAAAGTATATGGGCCTTAGAAGGTCCTCTGTGTCCTTCTTACCCACAATTCTACCACTGTTATCCTCTGTGTACAATGGCAGGAGGAACAACAGGCTAAGAATGAGGCGAGTGATTGAGATTGGGGATTGTTCAGGGAGGGGCACTCCGGCTTCTGCTAAAGGCTAGCTAGGCCCCATTTGCCTTAATCTACATTCACTGGGTTTTCTGTAGGGCCACCGTCCCAAGTGAGGCAGGGCTAGGCCATTGCCCGTTGAACATCACAAGTGTTTGGGCCAGAAGGAGCAAGGGTATTTTGGCTTTCTGAGGGCACAGACTATGCTGGGAAGTGGTTATTTCTGCTTTAGCTGGCTTTGGGGATGGTGGGGTTTTGGGTACAACCATAGGAATTGGTGAGCAGTGATAAAACTGCCACTGCCAAAACTGTACACTCCAGGTTTTTGGGTGGGACAGGGAGGAGGCCTACAACAGTGGATTCACAGGTGGCAAGTCATGTCAGAAAAGGGTCCTATATGACTTACTCAGGTCTGCTTGGGAGCCTGGCCTCACAATCAGACAGGGCTGCCCAAGAGTGTGCCACTGAAGTCAGGCTGTATCTGCCATCTTAGCCCAAGAAGGCCATTAGACAGGATACTAGGGCAGTTTGACCCTTCGTTGTTGAGGCAGGAATGTCCTACTGCCCTCACCAGCTTGGGCAGAGACAGGCCCTGGTATTACTGGGTTCCAGGAGCAGGGAAAAAGAACTCATGGCATCAAAGCCAACAGGAGCATCTGAACTCCAGAGTAGGGTGAAACAGTGAGTTCTCCCACTGACACTTGCCCCCCGTGCCCAGGAGCAGAGCCGGGGAAGCCAGGCTTCTCTTGTCACAATGCCAGAGGCACCTGAGGTACTGGAGGAAACAGTGACAGTGGAGGAGGACCCTGGCACACCTACCTCCCATGTGTCCATTGTCACCTCAGAAGATGGCACTACCCGACGCACCGAGACCAAGGTATGGCTGGGCCCAAGAGGTGGGCAGATAGACTGCAGAGTGGGTGTATGTCCTCTCTCCTAGGGTGCACCCATTATTTGGGTGGAAAACCAAGACCACTTTGGCCCTGCTGGGGCCATGTCTGGGCCTCTCAGGTTGTCCAGCCTATCAACTACCTGCTTATCTGCCAGGTCACCAAGACAGTCAAGACAGTGACCACACGAACCGTTCGCCAGGTGCCTGTGGGTCCAGATGGCCTCCCACTGTTGGACAGTGGACCCCCACTAGGCCCTTTCCCTGATGGCCCCCTGGACCGGCACTTCCTGTTACGTGGGGGTGGCCCAGCAGCCACGCTATCCCGTGCCTACCTCAGCAGTGGGAGCAGCTTTCCTGATGGGCCTGAGCCCCGTGAAGTTCCCAGCTATGGCAGCCTGTCCCGTGGGCTGGGTGTCCGACCCCCGCGTGGTGGCCCCCTTGGCTCAGGTCCCAGTGATGGCTGCTTCACACTGCCTGGGCGCCGTGAGACATTTCCAGTGGGCCCTGAGCCAGTGACTCCGGCTGGCCGCTCCCAGCCTGAGCACTTCCAGGCAGAGCCATATGGCCTGGAGGATGACACTCGAAGCCTGACTGCTGATGAAGAGGGTGGCCCAGAACTGGAGCCTGACTATGGCATGACTGCCCGGAGGAGGCCTGACTGTGGACGAGGCTTTCGCACCAGGTGAGCTTCCTTGCCCCAACACCATGTCCAGGAAGTCTCCCTTCCACACTTCAGCGTGGAAGTACCACAGAGTAGTTAGTGGTCCATAGGCAGTAGACCTTCGGAGGTAGAGATAGTCACACGCAGATTAGTTTGAATTGGCCTCACCTTTTCTCAGGGACTGCAGCAGGGGCAGGCCCTGAGGTGATGAAAGTTGTAGGGGATCTAAGCATGAGAAGTTGGTGACAGTGCCTGATACATACTGCCTTGTGCCAGCTAGATGGTCATGAAACTTGAACGAACACAAGAGGCTTATATTTCTCTTGAGTGAAACTTCAGACTCTTGCCAAACTTTAATTTTTTTTTGCACATAGGAGCAACTAGAGTCCCACAGCTTTTCTAAGCCCACTCTCTGGTTCTTTCTCCCTGCTCTCAGTTTCTGTATATAGAGAGGCAGCATAATCATGGCCTGAGTCTGGATTGCAGTGTGACCATCATAAGACACCTGACCCATCCTAGCCTCAAACCCGCCCCTGGGAAGCCAGTGTGATGGTGATGGTTTATCAGGTCATCTTGAGCCTTGATGGTGTGAGTGCCCCTTAGATGGTCCCACTGGTATGGCTGCAGGTAGGGAGGTCACTCCTCCCCCACATCCTGGCCCCAGTGAAAGACAGGCCTCCTGGGAAGGTGGGACCCTCGTCATAGACAACACTTTGTAGAAATGCATTTAATTCAGAGTTGGGGGGAATGCTGCCTGGTGACTAGAGTGAGTAAACTTCCTGTTCTGGAAGGGTACATGTCCTAAATATTGGCTAGGGTTTGGCCCTGAGTCAGTTCTTGCCAGACTGGGTGTAACTCTCAGTACCCAATCAATGTGTGAGATTGATATCAATGTGTTAGGCCAGCCATGCCCTCTGTGTTCATAGTACCCTGGTATGGGATAACTTGGAGGCAAAGCTGGTGGCCTCTGTGAAGATGTTCATCCACTCCACTCACCTACACAGGGCTTATGAGGATGTGGCAGATGATGGTGGTGAGCTGATGGAGGAACGACCCCCATTTCCAGCTGTGACAGCACCCCTGGCCCAGCCAGAACGGGGCAGCCTGGGCAGCCTGGACCGGGTGGTGCGGCGTTCGCCCTCTGTCGACAGTGCCCGCAAGGAGCCACGCTGGCGGGACCCTGAGCTGCCAGAAGTACTGGCCATGCTGCGGCACCCTGTGGACCCTGTGAAGGCCAATGCAGCTGCCTACCTGCAGCACTTGTGCTTTGAAAATGAGGGCATCAAGAGGCGTGTGCGACAGCTACGGGGGCTGCCGCTGCTCGTGGCTTTGCTGGACCACCCTCGGGCAGAAGTGCGGCGCAGGGCCTGTGGGGCACTGCGGAACCTCTCCTATGGCCGGGACACTGATAACAAAGCTGCCATCCGGGACTGTGGTGGTGTGCCTGCCCTGGTGCGCCTGCTGCGGGCAGCCCGGGACAATGAGGTTCGAGAGCTAGTCACTGGTGAGTGACTTCTGGCTGCCTTCCATTCCCTGGGAAGAGAGAAGAGCGAGCTTGGCTTGCAGGGTTGGTGTATACCAGCGGTCTCTAGGCCAGGGAAAGCACCCTGTCATTCAGGAGTCTCAGCTGCTAAAACTGGTCCCCAGTCTCTGCCTCTAGACATTGCTGCTGCAGGTAGGGCTGGTTCTGGGGCCCTCAGGCCGGCCTCCTCTCTATCTGCCCTCATCTTGCCACTGTGGCTCCAGGCTACCCCCACAGTGCAGTGGTGGGGAGTACACCTTGCATGATCCGAGGAGTATTAGTCCCACCCACCCAGGGGTGGGACTGAGAAGGGGATGGGGAAAAGAAGGCACCTGGAAGTCTAATGTGTCAGCTGTAGCTGCTACCTGGTGTCCTGGGCTGCGCCAGGCACCTAGTATCTCCCATGACTCTGTCGCTTCCTATACCATCTGGTCCCAGCTGTGGCATGCTGCAGGGTGGACAGGTCCTGAGCAGGGTTTTGGGGAGGTGGAAAGGGCAGTGCTCACAGTTCGCATGACTCATTGTTGCACCCCATAGGCACACTCTGGAACCTGTCATCCTATGAGCCCCTGAAGATGGTCATCATTGACCATGGCCTACAGACGCTAACACACGAAGTCATTGTGCCCCATTCGGGCTGGGAGCGTGAGCCCAACGAGGACTCTAAGCCACGGGATGCAGAGTGGACAACTGTCTTCAAGAATACCTCGGGCTGTTTGAGGTGTGGGCCGGGCTGGGTGCTCTCCGGGCTCGTGGGTGGATTCTAGCTGCTCCAGAGGCAGGCGTCAGGCCCCGGTATGGGCTTACCCCTCTGGGATTGGGACCCTATCTAGGGACAGCCACATCATTGTGACCCAGTAACACAGAAGATAGTTAGCTGCCCAAGTCTTAGAAGCTTCAGAACCTTGTCACTTTTTTCCCTGAGTCTTCAGAATGGGGCCTGTAGGGGCCGTGTTCACCCCTAAGGGCACCCTGGACAACGTGTGTTGTCCTTTGTGTGGTAACTAGTGATTCCAACTCTGCCCAGCTTGACTGTACCCTCTTGTCACTGTGGCATTCAAAGGTGGGAGAGCCAAGACCCATTCTTGAGTCTTAAGAGGCCTCATACTATCTCCTTGTGAACCCTGCCCTCACTCTCATCCTGGGAGACCCTATAGAGACACCCAGGTAGTCCTGGTTCCCCATAATTCTGCGTGTTCCTTGGAACATGCCACCATAGCCCTTTGGGTTCCCAACCATGCAAAGTGAAGGACAGAGCTGCCATTCGAGTGGGGGTACGGGACCCCAAAATTGTGCATCAACTCAAGCCTCTGAACGCACTTTTGGTCCCTTTTTAAATCAGCTAGTAGTCAGAGACACCTCCCCACCCTCTAGAGATGCCAGGCCTGGACTCCCTCCTAAGCAGTAGTCAGGCCACTGCTTCCCACCTGCCTTGTACTCAGGTTGGTACCATCTGCTTGTAGCCCCAACAGGGCAACATTATTAGGGCCTGTGTTCCTGAGGCTATGTGGGGTTGGGGGTAGTTCCCAAGGGAGCCAGGGGTCACCTGGCTTGCTCTTGGCCACTCAGGAACGTGAGCTCGGACGGTGCAGAGGCCCGGCGGCGACTCCGGGAGTGTGAAGGGCTGGTGGATGCACTCTTACATGCCCTGCAGTCAGCCGTGGGCAGGAAGGATACGGACAACAAGGTGGCTGGCAGGGCAGGGCGGGTCCTGGCAGGTATAGGCCTGGGGAGTCTCACAGTCTCCCACACAGGTTAGGGGAGACAGGAGAGGAAGGGGGCCCCAAAAGACCTGAGCTGTCTGGGTGGCATGGAAGGGAAGGACCCTGGGTGACAGCCACCTTTTAGTGGCCAAACTGTAAGGTGGGCAGGCACTGAGGCCTGGGCAAGGTCCTGCATGTGGTAGTTACTCCATCCTTTGGCTCCTCCCTGGCAGTCTCATCCATGAGGACCTCCAGCTCAGGCCCTCCCATCCTATACCCCAAACCCCTTGGTGCACACTGACTGACCAGTCTTCTCTGGGAGGGTCAGCAGTCTCCATGGTCATGTGGCCCTTCCCCACCAGCTCTCCTCTCCTCACAGTCGGTGGAGAATTGCGTGTGCATCATGCGGAACCTGTCCTACCACGTGCATAAGGAGGTGCCAGGGGCCGATAGGTACCAGGAGACTGAGCCTGGGCCCCTGGGTGGCGCTGTGGGCCCCCAGCGCCAGAGGAGGGATGATACCGGCTGCTTCGGTGGCAAGAAGGCCAAAGGTGTGTGGTTGGGACTGGGGTTCTGCTCTAGGAGACCCTCCCACCCTGGGCTAAAGGTTTTCCATTCCCAAGGTTGTTACAGAGGCTGGAGGACATCCAGTCAGTTGTGGATGGACAGGCAGGGAACCAAGGAGGGCATGCTACCCTGGGGCATCCAGCTGGCAGGCCCAGCCTTCTCCATCTTTACTGTGGGATCCACAAGGAAGGACAGGAGTAAACCAACATTATGCCCCTAATGGTGTCTGGATCCAGTCTCAGCTCCAGGAAGAGTTCTGTGGACCCAGTTGTGAAAATGTCAAAGATGGTGCCACCTTCTGATGTTTCAGGGCACCTGCAGACACTTCACTCTGCCTGCGCTAGCATCTTCCAGGTGCACATAGTTTGTGCACTGTGCACTTTTGGCTCCCAAAAATAATCTGTCAAGACTTCATGTCTTGCCTGCTCAATTCAGCCTGTGCAGTGAAATTGGGGCATCCCGGGAGGGCTTGGGATACTGCCTGCTTAGGTTTATGTCCTCTCTCCTGTGCTTCCTCCGGCTGCCCAGAGGAGTGGTTCCATCAAGGTGAGTCCCTGTCTATCCTACTGTCCAGATCTGACAGGTGCAGAACGTTAGGCCTGGACTAGTTGGGAGACCAAGTGGCTGTGCCCTCAGACTGGGTTGCCCAGCAGGACTGGCCCTGGAGCTGGGGCAGAGTTCAGGTGGGGAGAGTGTTAAGATATGTCTGTCCCCAATGAAATAGGGTCAGTTGTGGCTCTGACAGAGTAAACAAAGGCCCGATGAGACTTCATAGGGCTCACAGGTAATCTGAACTGAGCTCTGCTGCCTTCCAAAGGAGGATATGCTTCCTCATCTGAGATGGGAGGGTGAGCAAGTAGGGGAGGTCCTGAACTTTCATGGAAGCATGGAGGCTGAGACTGATGGGTATTGGATGGGTCTACTGTAGGGGCTGGGGTTATGTGTGGAGGCCTCTTCTAGCCAGCAGAAGCTTCTACTAAGTCCTGGCCCCAGACAGGGAAATGTTTTACTTTGTAAGTGGGACTCTTGACCCTAGACCTGCCTTGCTATGTCACGAGGCATGTCCTATTCTTGTCAACCCTCAGCTTCACACATCCATCTGCCTCCCGCCCCCCAGCCTGCCCCAGGCTCCTCAGTTCACACACCAGGCATCCACAGAGGACCATGGTAGTAAGAATGGGGGTGTCAGCAATGCAGCTTCTAGCACTGATGAATTCTGACAGCTTGGAGCAATAGGAGGACACCCCCAGATCCTACTGCCACTATTGTCCTTCCTGAGGCCGATTTGCCTGTCTGTACACAGAATGGTGTTCTGTCCCTAGAGTCTTTTGGTGCCCAGTCCTGGACACGGGGTACTTTTCAGTCTCTGGGCATAAAAGAGCTATGTCCATCCTTCCTGACATATTCCTATCCCTTGGCAGGGTCTACCTCACCTCCCACTGCCCTTCTATTCCAGGGAAGAAAGATGGTGACATGGACCGGAACTTTGATACCCTGGACCTCCCCAAGCAAACAGAGGCTGCCAAAGGTCAGTAGTCAGAGTTGCAACCCAGGATTATGTAGGTAGTGAAGGTTGTTGCACAGGCCTGAAGGGTCATGGGGATCTTGTGGGGAAGCAGAATCACAGGCATGGGGACCCACAGATGACTATATAATCCCTGAGGGTTCACAGATAGGATCAATGGTATGGGTCACTTCAGGCAGAAGGGGGGACAGAGGCATAGATGTCTGTTTCTGGATTCACATAGACATGCAAGAGTAAGAGTAAGAGCCAGTTAGGCATGTCCTCCATTGTCAGCCAGAGAACTTAGGTTCACTCAGGGAGGTTCAGCCAGGGGAATACAGTTGCCCCTCCCCCCAACTCATGGGGCTAGAGTGATTCATTCTCCTTGTTCCTGACCATTGAATTCCTGCTGTATGCTGGCACTATTTTGGGCACTGAGCACTGGGAGTCAGCCTGAGTGAGAGGACTACCCTAGTGAGCTTGGAGCACAGCCTGCCCTGTAAGTCCAGATCCCCCAAGTAGAGTGGAAAGACCCAGTCACCGGAGGCAGGGGAGAGCATCATCACCAGAGGAACCAGTCCATACAAGTGGGGGTGGGGGAGACACTGAAAGAGCATTTAGGGAACATGAAAAAAGCCCTGTGGAGAGCTGAAGTGAAGGGACCATGGGCTTGGACACTGGGGAGTGGGGTGAGAAAAAGGATAGGACATGGGGAGAACAAGATTATATCTGCAGCCAGGCAGAAGACCTGTGTAGGGACAGACTGACCCTAGAGCAGCAGCATGGAGTCAATCTGCGGCCAGGCGGGGGGTGGGGGAGTCTTAACTACAGTGGGATCAGGATGGTAAGTCTGCTCAGACAAGGAGGGGGTAGGGCCCTGGTGACACAGCCTCAATAATACTGTGAGGAGACCTTGTTGCTATGGAACATGGGTTTTGTTGATAGGGCGCCACCTCCTTCCATCCCAGGCCTCCCGGAAGCTCATACTGCCGGGCAGCCCAATTCCATTTCTTTGACTGCAAGGTCAAGGGGATAAACTGCTTCTCCCAAACCCACTGCCTCTTTGCTGAGCCTGTTTGTTCCTCTGGGGTGGCCTTAAAGAGTGACCATGTTGATACTAAAAATGCTCTGACTGTGTCACATCCATCCCTGGGTCCTGGGAGCCCTGGGGACTGGAGGCAGGTGAAAGGAAGAGGTTCAGTGGGGAAAGGTCTGAGTTATCTTGGGTGCCCTGTCCCCAGGCTTTGAGCTGCTGTACCAGCCTGAGGTGGTACGTCTCTACCTCTCCCTCCTCACTGAGAGCCGGAACTTTAATACCCTCGAGGCTGCTGCTGGTGCCCTACAGAACCTCAGCGCTGGCAACTGGATGGTGAGAGACCAAGTCTGCAGGGAGGGGACAGAGAGGAACCCTTAGCATCACATGTGCTTGCCCTGTCCTGGGCTGGGGCCGGATGGGGGTGGGAAGGGAGGACACAGTGCCTCCCCCAAGGTCCAGAAGGCTCAGGGCACATAAGCTGTCAGCTGTGCACCCTGGGCAGTGGAGGTAGTTGACAAGCACGGGTTGGACTTTGCCAGTGCAGTTGGAGGGAGCAGTCAGGGCTCAGGTGGGAGTGGCCAGCATGTGTGGAACCACCGGGTGTGCTGAGCACACTCCCCCACTGCTGCCACTGCCGCAGTGGGCCACATACATTCGTGCCACGGTGCGCAAGGAGCGTGGACTGCCAGTGCTCGTAGAGTTGCTGCAGTCTGAGACCGACAAGGTGGTGCGTGCCGTTGCCATTGCCCTTCGCAACCTGTCTCTGGACCAGCGCAACAAGGACCTCATTGGTGAGGGTGCCTGTGGGGCGGAGCCCAGATGGGGAACTTGGCGAGCAGCTTGGGGGTTCCCACTAGTGGGCAGTGGGGGGCCTGGGGGTTTGGTGGGGACCTTGCTCATAGCCTTCCCTATGTGGTCGGGACCTAGCCCCTAGCACACCAGAGGGACCTGCATTGCCCTACCTGGAATCTGTCCACTTCCCGCAGCAGCGGGACAGAGGCGTGACCTCACACCGACCCCACTCCTCAGGGAGCTATGCCATGGCAGAACTGGTGCGGAATGTGCGCAGTGCACAGGCTCCAGCTAGACCTGGCGCCCGCCTGGAGGAGGACACGGTGGTGGCTGTGCTCAACACTATCCATGAGATTGTGTCCAACAGTCTGGACAACGCACGCTCGCTCCTGCAAGCCCGAGGCGTGCCTGTGCTGGTGGCACTGGGTGCAGCCAGGTGGGTGGAGGCAAGGCCCTGGGAGACTGGGGTGGTATGGTGGGTCGGGTGGACCAGATGCTGACCCTGCGCATGGTTGTAGCCAATCCATGCGTGAGGCAAAGGCTGCAACCCACGTGCTGCAGACAGTGTGGAGCTACAAGGAGCTGCGTGGTGCCCTGCAGAGGGATGGCTGGTCCAAGGCCCGCTTTCAGGTACGGCTGCTTTACTTCCCTCCCTTACTTTCTCAGGCTGGGCCTCCTTCAGGAGCAGCCCTGACTTCACCCCTCTCTGTTTTGTGCCTCCCCAGTCAGCTACTGCTAACATCAAGGGGCCTAAGGGAGCAGCGAGTCTTGGTGGCTTTGAGGATAGCATGCTTCCACTGGTGGACAAGAGCCTCGGTGAGGAGGTGGAGGGCATGGGAACTCATCAGTTGGGTGGCTCCCTCAACCCACACTGTTGACAGTATAACCCGTGGGGATGGAGGAGCGCTGCTGTCTTCCAAGAAGATGGTCCCAGAATTGGGAAGAGGGGATTTCCCACCCTCTTCATCTGTCCACATGGGTGCCAAGCTGAGAGGGGCAGTGGGGCCAATGGGCAGAGGTGCAGCAGAAGGGTACAAAGATGTTAGTGACAGGGCACCTGGGGTTGACATGGGCTTGTCCAACTTGCCCCACCCCACCCCCACTCCCCCTGCTACTTGCATGCAGCGAGTGCCCACCTTTCGCCTTGCAGATAGTGAAAAACCTAGCAGCCAGGATGTGATACCCCTGGAGACTCTGGGCCCAGGTAAGTGCAGGGAGGAGGCAGGGACCTGAGAGGACCAGGTGGTCATGCATTTTGTACTAGGAAGGCTTCTGAAGGAGATTTGTTTTAAAGGTGTTGAGGGGAGCTCTCTGCTCTGCCTGTCACTGTGCAGGAGCCTTTCTTTTTCTTCCCCCTTTCCTAATAAACCTGTCCTTTTAAAATGTTTAAAAGAACATGGAATAAGGAATAGCCTAGCCAGGCAGGGGTTGGTGCCCAGCTAAGGTGTGTTCTCTGAGGGCAGATTGGAGGATCTGGGTGAAGAGCATCTAGGCTGAGATGGGGGTCATCTTCCCGTGTATCTGCCCTTCAGAGACCCCCTCCTTCCCCCAATACACAGATGGATACTCCACCACAGACCGAAGGGAGCGGAGGGCTCGAGGCAGTGATCCTGCAGGCGAGCTTTCTGAGAAGGAACCATTGAAAGTAAGCAAGCTATGGTCAGGTACCCAAGGAGGTGTATAGTGTCTAGTGGCTCCTGGAGAGGAGCCAGGCAAGATACTAGGGTCCAGCTGGGTGGGCTACAGGGCCTGAAGACCACAGCCAGGAGCATTGCCTCTGGTCTTGGGAACCTCATGTCAGGCTGTGTATGAAGATGATTCAAGTTCCCTCTCACAGGGAGGGAGGTGGCATGGAACATAGGCCACTGCCCAGGGTGGGGGAAGCCTGAACAAGTGTGTGTACCTGTTTCTGCATGTATGTATGCTGCAGTCCCATCTCCAGGGCAGTACTGGCCACCTTTTCTTCTTTGCTGGTCCCCCTGGCTTTGGGCACAGCCATCTGCTGTCTCAGTATCATTGCATCTGTGTGAGCCGTACTGGCTAGCCACCCTTTGCCTTCAGACCTGCCCTTTTGTCCGCCCCTGCTTTGTTCCCATCCCACTGACCAGATCAGTCCCCACTCATCAACTAATGTGCTCTTTTTTGCCTCTAATGTTCTCCGCCACCACCTATCTGCTGCAGCCCGACCCTGGCAGAAAGGTCCCTCCTCCTGGGCCCAGCAGGCCCTCAGTCAGGCTGGTGGACGCCGTGGGGGACACTAAACCTCAACCTGTTGACTCCTGGGTCTAGCTTGCATGCCTGGTACGTTCTCACAATTGGTTTCTTGTTTTCTGGACCTTGAGCATCTGTTATCTCTGCTGGCTGCATGCTCTACTCTCCCAGCAGGACCCCTCCTCCAGCTCAGCAGACCCGAATGCCCACCTTAGGGAAGGACATACCGAGGTCAGAGAGGGGGAGGGGTCTCCTTGGCCTTCGCCCTCAGCCCAGGCATTATTCTTTCAGGACCAGGAGACGGGGCCAGAGTAGGGATGGGTGCCCTTATATTTGCAAATGCCCCAAGCAGAGGAGCCCTAAGACCGAACAAGTGGCTTGGCCCTAGTGCCAAGACCCTGGGATTGATACTCCCCACCCCTCCCCAGCAGCTGTCTTTGTGTCCACTTTTCCATCCCCCTTGCCTGTGGAGGCAGCTACCCAACCACCAGGCTGCTCTGCTCAGCCTTACCCTCTCCCTCCTCAGGGCCCAAGCCCAGCCATCTGTTCTTAGGGATCTGATCACAGGGAGAAGGAAACTTCTGGGCCGTCCTGCGCAGACCTTGCTGTGGCACTCGGAGCCCCCTTGCGGCAGGGTTTGGCAGTACTTCTCGCTGAGCCAGGCCAGACATTCTGGACACAACTCCTTCCTGCCTCCTTGTTCCCTACTCTCTCCCCCCAGGTCATAGGTCATGCTGTGTGTGTGTGTGTGTGTGTGTGAGAGAGAGAGAGAGAGAGAGAGAGAGAGAGAGAGCATGCGCGAGAGAGAGAGCTGCAGGACAGGATACCTGGCTTGGCTTCGGCGCTGCCAGTAGTAGTACGTGTTCCTATCTATGCAGTGCCCCTGCTCAGGCAGCTGTGAGGGGCTCCTCTAGGCCCTAGGTTTCCTTGCATGGCCTGCAGACCATGGATGTGTGGCTGCTCCAGGGAGGCTGTCCCAGAAGTGAAGCTTGAGAGGCAGTGAGATGGGAGTCAGGCTGTGCTTGTCCCCAGCTGCCCTTGGACAGGTGGAGCCCCGCCTAGTGGAGGCGTCCTACGGGGCCTGTCTGAATAGCGCTGCTGGAACTGACTGTTGGTAACAGCTGGGGACTGCTGTTCAGTGCCTGCTGTTTGTGACATAAAAACAGAAGAAAATAACTCACAAAAATAATTAAAAGCAAAACCATAGTATGATTGGTTATTAGCTAACATCTAAATTTTTGTAAGAAAATTTGAAAATTAAAATAGCAACAAAGTAACTTCTGTCCTCTGTGCCTCAGATCTCTCAACACAAGCTACTTGTTCCTGTTTGTGGGTGGGGAGGGCAGAGATGGCCCCAAGTGACTGATGCATTGAGGGGCTCAGCTGCCCTGCCCCCTGGGTATTTTCCACATCAGGGTCACTGGGATACCTTTTCTGTATGCAGAGGAGTCAGTTTGCTCCTGATAGTTAGCTGGGCCCTGGGCCTATGGGTAGTATTCTAGTGTCTGGGACCTCAGCTGGGCCTTTGGGGAGCCTGAGGTAGCCAGCAGCCCAGCCACTCAGGGGCTGTGGGCTAGAGGGCCAGGGTGGGGAGTGGGGGCAACTCTGGCTTTGGGTAAATGCAAACCAGCTCCGCTGCATCACTTACCAACTGGGCAATGTGTAGATGTGCTGCAGCAGCCTGGACTCACTCCATCGTCCAGAAACAAGGCCAGGCGGGCTCAGTGAATGCATCACCACTAAGGGCCACAGACCCCGTAGAGCTCTAACAGGGGCCTTTGGCCACGAGAGCAGTGCTGAGCAAGGCTGGTACCCCTCCACTGCCATGGTTGGGAATCCCTGGGCAGGCAGCACCCAGTCAAGGGGAACGCAGTAATTTTGGTGCCAAAGCTCAGGGTACCGAAGGAAAGGAGCAGCACAGCAGTTGAAGCAGAGTTCATGTGATTTCTGAGTATTTTGATCTTTACTTCTATTTTAATATCCCCTAAACATGATATTGACGGATAAGCTAGTTGATTTTAGTAAAGAAGTTGTATTTCTTCTTAAAAAGGAGGTGAAAGAACTGAAGTGTGCTGCGAGTTGGTTCATGGCCACTCTGAGGCACTACTGCCATTGATGGCAGCACACCTCAGGAACAGACTGAACGCACTCCTGACAGACCCACATGGGTCTAGGCCCCCACTACTTCCTGTGTGATTCTGTCCATACCTGAGGGCAGCCTGTGTAAGAAAACCAACTAGAATGCTGGTGGGGGTGAGTGACATCATCAGTGGCACCCCTGTCCTGATTGGGTTTTTACTTTCCACATTTATTGCGATGATTCTGCATAGTGAGCCATTTGCACTTGGGGTGAGTACTATGTGACAGTCTGGATCTGCTGTGTAGACAGGCCAGTGTGGGCCAAAGTGGGCATCACAGGCCTCAAGTGTGCTGTGATGGGGCAGACCCCAGAACTGCAGAAGTGGGGTTGGCAAGGAGCACCTCTACCGTACGCCTCATAACCAGGTTCTGTAAGAGAGCCCAGAGTAGGGCAGGCAGTTAAGGCCTTGCAGGGCTGCCTGGGCCCAGATAGACGACCTTTTCCAAGCCATCCACCACCAACTGTGAGTATTCCAGGTAAGAAGGGAAGTGTGTGCACTCAAAGCGGCTGCTCCCACGTACATGTGCCAGAAATTTTGGTGCTCCTGGGAAGATGACGTTATCAGCCAGCAACACCGTCCCTTTCCGTAACAGGCCACACTCCTACAGGAAACAGATAATTGGGGGTGGTGAGTGGTGAGAGCAACCAGTAAGCTGCACTCAAACCCCAAAGGATAGGGGCTTCTAGCTAGGTGGGGGCTCCACTTGCCCTTGCATGGCCCTGGAGTCAGCCCCAACACAGCACCTAGGGTCACACCAGTCTCTCTGCTGTCCTCCACTGCAGGCAGAGGCTGTGCTGACTGCACACACGTCCTCAGCTCTGAGGATATTTTGTTCCTCTGTCAACTCCTGCATCCTTAGTCCCCACAACTGCATCGGGCACATAGTGGTATTCACTGAGTGTCAGTAGATGAGTGAGGCCAATATGGTGCCAGAATTTGGGCCACTGTACCAACTTAAGACCAGTAGGATCCTGTCTCCTGGTGCCAAGAAGATGTGGCTTTTCCAGGTGAGAAATACCTGGTGCTGGCTATCTGGTCATTGGTCTGACCAGAGTGACCTCTACTCCCCCAGGAGTTCACTCTGGACTTCACCAAGTTCTGTTATTTGAGACATCTAATGCCTGGGCATCATTAGTGCCTGGGCAACTGGCTGGCATTCCTGAGTCTGGGCTTTGTGCAGAGAGGAGGAATGACAGCTGGGCATAGCTGTGTCAGTACCCTCCTGGGTCTACTGTCTCTTAACCTGGGGGGTAGGAATTTTTTTAGATTATAGGGAGCAGTAGGAAGAGATATCTGAGAGGAACTGTTTGTGGGTGCAGGAGGGACAGGCATGTCAGGCTAGGCCAAGAGATGCCGGAGTCTCATTGTCTGATCTGACTTTGGAAGCATAAGCTTTTAAATATATAATCATAAAATTAGTGTTATCTCTAACACTGAAAGCAAAATCAACAAGTGACCAGGTGTGTTCCAAAATTGCTGGCAAGTCCATGTGCATAGAGCATCTCCAAGTGACCTAAAAATGTAGAGATTTAGCTATGCAATCCTCCAGGAATGTGCCAAGGACTGTCTTACAGGGGTCCCCGCTGTCCTGGTGGTGGATGTAATAACTTCCTGTTCAGCTGTGAGGAAGCTAGGGCCCTAAGCCAGAGGCCTGGCAAACACACAGCCATGAGTAGCCCAGGAAGACGAACCCTAGTCTAGGCCCCAAAGGACAGCTCAGGACTGGGGTCGGATATGCATAAGGTGGGGTCCTACTAGAGGACTGATGCATGACCACTGGCCACAGGTGGGACAATCCATAGGTTGTGAAATGCATTTGATACTACAAAACCTTGGGTTAGCCATGAAAGAGGAACGAAAGGAAGAGAGCAGCCCTGGTCATCCTGGAAGAAGACTGTTCATAAGGGGGAAGAAGGCCATATCTACCCTCCTTTCCCTGGGTATCACATAACACCTTATGCCCCCAGATGGAGACCCCCGCCTTGGAGAATTCTGGCCAGAGACAACAGCCCAACTTGCTGTTGTCATGGGGAGGAAACAGTAAGCACTTGAACTGCATGAAGGGCCTTCAACTCTACGTCAACTGCAGCTACACTGTCCTTGTGGGCAGGGACTGAGGCCTCCTTAAAGGGACCACCCAGTTTTTAATTGCCATCCACCCCACCATCCCTTCAGCCCCTTACCTGCAACTGAGGGGAACGTTGCAGGGCCCTATGTTGAAAAAATAGTCATCCCTAATTCATAACTTCTTTTGAGATAATTACCATCTTTGAACAAGCAGCACTAGAAAATGATTAATTTCCTAGTTGCTAAATGGCAATATTTGCTGCTTTTCTATAAAGGCACGCCCCTGTAATTATCACAGTCTAAAGCTGCTGAAATTCCTTGGTTTCCTCGCAAGCAGGCTCAGCTGGGTTGGCCACCTGGTCTCTGCCCAAGTCCTGATTGCCAGGTCTGTGCCCCTCTGCCTGGGGGCGGCCATCTCCTGTTCAGAGGTGTTCCTCACAGCTGCTCACTCCTGGCCTGTGGATCACCCTGCCATTCCCCTGCTGCTGGCCCCTTTTTGCTAATCGGGTCCCTAGCCAACCTCTAATCCCAGAGCTCCCGCACGCACTCTCCAGTGCTCAACACCTTTCTGGGGTTTCCAGGCCCCTGCACGGCTCTCCCTACAGCCATTTCTAATCTTGCCCTCACCAGCTAAAGCTCCCTTCAAAGCTTTCATGCCCCTCTGTTACAGGCCCTTGCCTACCTCCCAAACATTCTGTGCCCGTTCACACCCACCCTTCCAGTGCTGTGCCCTTCCCACTATGGCCAGCACCTGGTCCTCCACCCCCCACACTCTAATAACCACTTGGGCAGGGGCTGGGTCAAGGCACATAGTTCTTCAGAGGCTGAGGTCCAGTGCCCAGGTGGTCCCTGTGCTAGCGGCCAGCACCAAGGACCTTAGGAGAGTGCATGGCTTACCTCCAGCAGGAGCATGTCTGGCAGGTACTGTTCCTTCCAGTGGTCAAGGAAGACCATGTCCAGTGTATCCACATCATATTTCTTCTTTAGCTGGGGGATGATGTCTTGAGATGCCCCAAGGATAACAGTTATCTGGAACAATGCTCTGTCAGTGCCTGTACCCAGAGGGGGGCAAGCAGACCACCTCGCAATTTTGTGGTTCTGAGGAGATGTGTCCCCATGCTCTACCCTCCTCCCTCTAGTGGCAGCCTCGGGATTTTCCTGCTGTGGAATAGGGTAGAGGACCACCCTCATGGAGATGCTGTGGAGGGTTTGGCGAAACGTGGCCTAGGTGGCACCTCGGGGCATGATCTGGGCCTTTTGTCTTGCCTACCCCTTGCCCCTTCAGAGTCCATGCCAGTCACCCAGGTAAATACTGTACCCTGTCCTGTAGGCCCGCAAATTCCAGCATCTGCTGGGTGATGGTAGCGAAGTCAGGGTTGAACTCGATGGTGAGCAGACGGGAGCCAGGAGGTAGCAGGCGGCCCATACGGATGGCTGAGTAGCCACAGTAAGCCCCCAGCTCCAGCAGCACTCGGGGTTGCTGCTCCTGCACCACAGCATCCACAATCTCGCCTGTGGCAGATGGGGTGAAGGTGAGTACACCAGAAGAGGGAGGAGGGCTGCTCCCAGACCTGGACCTGCTGCTTTCCAACTGAGCAACAGGCCCTTGCATCGTCTGCCTCAACCTCCCCCCAGACCCTGGTCTGTTGCACACATCTTCTGAGCTCCCAAGGGCTTGTGTGACTTTGCACACATTGGTCCCTCCCCTCTACCACCCCAGCTAACCCCAGCTCATCCTAACCTAGAGTCATCATGTGGAAGCCCCCACCTCATACTGCCCATGTGCTGCACTTGGGGCCTCCCTGTACCTTGAGCTAAACACTGAAGGGTCCAGGCAGTGGGGGTCAGATTCATCCACCCCTGCAGCTGAGTCCAGCAGTGCAGCACAATGCATCGGTGCCCAGGTAATAGAGTCCCAAGATTGGGATGCAACCTCAGGGAAGGGCCCAAGGTTGGGTCAGACAAGACAGGGGGTCCCACACAGGCTCCAATAGGACTCAGGAATCCCTTGCCCACTTCGAACCTAGCTTTGCTGCATGAAGCCCTTGCCATCACTGCTCACCAGTGTTGGCTGAGCTGCATGAACAAGGGAGCCCTGAACCATGGGTTCTGTCAAAATTTGTTCCTCCCCATGGGAACTACATCACTTGTAACAGGTCTTTCCCATATGAACTGCTACCCAGCCTGGGGTCTATTCTCATGCCTGTTTCTACAAGCCAGGCTACTGGCTCCCCCCTCCCTCAGTCAGTCCCCCTCCACCCACCTTTTTTGTTTCCCACATTCATGGCCCATTCCTTCTGTGAACAGTAGGCATCGATGGCCTCCATAACGCTCTGTGGGTCCCCGGCTACAGCGTGCTGCAGCACGTGCTGCAGAATGCGCTGCTCCTTGCTGTTGCCCATGAGCAGATTGTAGATTTTCTGCAGGACACGCTCATTCCATAAGACAAGGAGTAACCCCCAGTATCTCGAAAAGAGCCGCAGTGTCAGCAGCAACAGGCCCAGCAAGAGGGCTGCCAGCAGCAAGAATGAAACCTCCAGCATCTGTGATAGGACGG